CGCCGCCGCCGCCCGCGCGCACGCGCCCGCGCCCGCCGCTCATTGGCCGCGGCGCGTCCTATACGCCGTCGCGTGGTCCAATTGGCCAGCGCGGCGCCGTGGGCGGGCCGCCGGCTCGAAGGCTGCTCCCCGGGGTCTCAGAGGCGGTTCCGAAGCGCGCCGGGGGTCCGGGAGCCGCGCGCCGGCGGGGACTGAGGTTCGAGTCCCCGCCTCGGATCTGGGCTCTGGCTGGGCTGCGGCGTTCGTGGTCAGGCTCCGTCAAGCCTGAGGCCTTAGGCTCCAGGGCACGTCCCCCCTCGGGTGTGTCTGGGCGGGGGCGGGAGCAGGTGGGGCGGGGTGAAACTGGGCCACCTTCCGCGTGGGAGGTCGTTCAGTTTTCAGGGCTCCTGGGAACGGCCAGCGGTGCCGCCTGGCCTCCCTCATTGAAGAGGAGACCAGGGTCTGAGGGGAGAAGGCACCTGCCTGGAAGGGCAGGCAGGTCGGGGCAGTCCTGGCCCTTAAGCCCCAGGCAGAGTCCTGTACTTAACTCAGCAGCCAAGTGACCTAGGCCTCAGTTTCCCCTTCTGTACCCGGGTCCCCCATGACTGCAGAGCCAGTGGCTTTATGCTCAGGTGCTGCTTTCTGGAGCCCGCAGGAGCCCACCTGGGTCTGCAGCCACCTCTGTGCCCCTCGCCCGCTGTCTCGCTTTCTGCCTGTGGGCTTATCCTTCGAGTGGAGACAGTGATTGCAACCGCGGGTACTGCTGGGACGTCACCCGCGCTGGTCGGCCGACTGGCTGGAAGCCGGTCCCTTGCCGTTTGGTTAGACAGCTCAGAGAGTGCTTTGTGTGTGTCGCCGGCTGCACGCACACTGTCCAGCGTCTCTGTGCTGGCCTGCGAGCTCCTGTCTGAGTGGAAGTGCTGCAGGGAAATGGGTGGGCGAGTCTCTGGTCACGAGTGGCATGAGCAGTCGTCATCGTCACGGATCAGGGCCCCGCTGCGTGGCCCGCTCCCCTTCAGGCCCCTTCCCCACCTCTCACCTTGGCGTGCCCCCTTCCACTGACTCCTGTGCCACCACAGGCAGGCTCTCCCAGGACCCAGGCTGTCCTCTTTCCTTTGCCTTTCCCCTTCCAAATTGCCCATGAGGCTTCTCCACCATCCGGGCCTGCAGGTCGGGTGTGAATGGGACACCTGGGTTCTGTTTTGTTTGATTTCAATAAAATCGGTGACTAGTAACAGCTGGAAGATTTCACGTGTGCGTGCGTGGGCACGCATACACGTGCACGCACTCACGCACACCCCTAGACCTCTCTGGGAATTTAGTCCCTCTGGCCTCTGGGGCCAGCAGGCCACAAGGTGGGGAGCAGTGCCTTCACTAGTCACATCTGTACCCCTAGTTTGCCCCAGGCCTCACCCAGTCCACTCATTGCCCCGTGTCCTGCCTTCGCCCTGGAAGGGCCAGTTCTCAAACCACAAGTGCAGAATTCCCCCGGGAGCTTTTAAAATCCTCATTTAGCGGGTCTGCCTGGGTCCAGGAATCTGTTTAAGCTCCTCTCCTGGAGGCCTGTGAGACACGCCTTCCTGAAGTGACAATGTCCCAGGGAGCAGAATGTCCTGAGTGCAGAATCCTGGCTGGGCTGCCCTGCGGTCGTGCAGAGGGTTGGCTGGTTAGTGGCAAATGTGAGCCCAGGGACTCGGGGTGTCAGTGAGGGGCTGTGCCGAGGCCTGTGCACATTCTCCGTTCTGTTTCCCGCAGCCCCCCGCCGCCCAGAGGGCACCCTGTCCCTGTAGCACTCTTCTGGTTACCATCCTGCCCTCCTGGAAGGGGGTGACCTACCCAACCCTGGGTGCATTTAAGAGCCTCTTGAATTGCCTGCCCAGGCAGGTGGAGACCCGGCTGACCCCTGACCCCGCCAGCTGCACACGCCATCCTTCTTTACACCTTTATTCTCCCAGTGCCCTGGGGACCCTCTCTTGCGAGGGCAAAGGCACCACACCACTGCCCGCACACTTCCAGCGTCCTCCAGGCCTCCTTATGTCCTCAGCGCGCTGGTTTGCAGGACTCCACGAGAGGGCGCCCGAGACCGCTGCTCTGAGCGCTGTGCCGTTCAGGGAAGGGGCGGCCTGGCTCGCAGGGCTCCAGGAGTCCAGGACGCCGGTGGGGTCTGGGATGGTCAGAGGTGGGGGGGCTGCAGGGGTAAAGCTGGGCTGGATGGGAGCCTGAGGATCCCTGCCTCCAGTACCTCCTGACCCCCTGCTCCCCACGAGGGAACAGATGCTGGGGAGAGAATGGGGCAGCAGGTCCAGCCGGTTACTTCTGAGATGCATGGAGGTGGAGGGGTTCGAAAGACCAGCTAAAGACCTCCTCTCAGCCTTCCCAGTCCCTCTGGATATGGCCAGGACCCAGTCCCCTCCTCTGTTGAGCCAGACTGTCTGCTAGGCTGATGGTATGGGCTGTCCTGGCCGTGGGCAGTCAGGTGGGGAGCACGTCTGGGTCAGTGGTGGTACCCCTGGGCACAGCTAGCTAGGTCTCCGAGCTGCTGTTGCTGGGTGAGGGGCTGCCATCCTCGGGGTCCCTCTGGCTCCCAGGCCCCTTGGCTGCCTTCTCTCTCAGGACAGCTTCTTTGAGGCTGTGGAAAGTAGACAGATTAGGCCAGGTTGAATGGTGGTGGCCTCGTGACAGAGTGCAGAGTGGGGCAGACACTGGTGCGCCCCTGCAGACCGCACCCACTAGGGTGGTTTCCAAACAATCCCAACAGGAAGTGCCTCAAAATCAGACAGGTGTGCTGGCGTCCTCCACCACTTGCCCGAGCAAACAGGCCGCAGCCACCCTCCTGGCAACAATGGTGCATTGTGGCGGCCACAGCCCAGCCTGCCTAGTGGCAGACCTGCTTGCACAAAACACCAGGGCGGCATCCATTATTAGCTCAGGCCTTCAAAGGCTGTCTCGGGCACCCAGAGGCCTGGCCTCTCTCTGCCTTTGTGGCCAGAGCAGGAAGTTGGGGGGGGGTGTCCTGATATCCTCAGCTGGGACGCTACTCCTGCTGCTCTGTTGGGAGGGGCTGGGCCCACAGGTGCCACCCTTGGCAAACATTTGAGCAGCCCCCAGCTCTCCCGGTGGGAACAAACACACCCCATGCCCCAAGGGCTGCACCACCGTCTGCTCCTCTTTGAAGGTGGCCAAGAGGGTCCAGGAGTCCTCATCCCTCCAGGTTGAAGGGACTGGCGGGGGGCTGGCAGTGAGGAGGAAGTGGGGCCAGGATTCACCCAGGCCTGACGCCTCGCTCCTCCTCTTAAGGGGCCAGCTCCAGGAGGGCTGGTTTCTGGGATGCAGTCAGTTTGATGACGCCATTCCCCAAGTGAAAGGTGGGGTGGGGGTGTTGGGGCTGTGGCACCTCTCACCCACTGCCCTGGAGAGTACCTTTGTCCCATGGGTCAGAGGAGGAGGCCCGCTTCCTCTTCTGCTGTGGGCCCCGCCCGCGCTCCTGGGTGCAGAAACACGTGGGCTCCTCCCCAGGCATGCTCAGCGTGACCCTGGCCTCTGCTTTGGGGCTCAGGCCCATCTGAGGGGTGTAGGGGTGTGGTCAGGGCAAGGACCCTTCCCCCAAGCCTGGGGCAACCCTGGCCTGGGGCCGCCATCCCCACCCGAGCCAGTCTGTGGCTGGGGACCCACCTCACTCTCCGAGGCGTCTGGCCCCTTCAGCTCGTCTGACACTTGCTGCTGCACCTCTGGCTCGCTGAGCTCTGCAGGACGCAGCGTGTGGGTCAGGCCAGGCTGGTGGCCAGGGGGTCTAGCGGAAGCCCAGGGCTCTCTAGCCTGCCAGGCTTGGACGAGTGGCAACAATGCTGCAGACGAGGAAGCTGAGGCACAGAGGGGCCGAGTAACCTGTCCTAGGGCCGATTGATCCCAGGCCTAATGTCCCCAGTGTCGGTACAATGATCCCACCAGCAGGGGTGTCCTCGTCTTGGTCGCTGTGTAATGGGGAGCTCACTTCCTGACCCCAAACCCTAATTGCTAGGATGCTCTTTCCTTCATTGCCTGTGATCAGAGACACTCTCATCCTGGGCCCCCGACAGCTTTCTGGGGCTGCAGGTGGGAGATTAAGCCCTGGACCCAGGGTTTGGCCCGTGGGGCCCAGGGTGCTGAGCTGGGCCCTGGGACAGGTACCCCCAGCTGACACTGACCACCCTCTCTCCCCACTGGCTGGGTTCTTGTGACCCCTGATACTCACCTTTACCGGGGTGGCCATCAACAGCAGGCCCCTGCGGGTGGGGGGACAGTTTCGACTGTTCTCTGGACTCATCTCCTGTCCCGCCAAGAGAGGGTAGGCTGGGGTGGGGCCCTGGGAGACGATGTGGGGGACCCTGGTGGTAAGCAAGTAAGTGGCTTGAGTTAATTTGAGGTGACTGCCTTGCCCCCCAACCCAGCCTTGGACACAGCCTGCGGGACCCTGGCTGGGGTTGCAGCTGGTGGGTCAGCCGTGTCCATCCTAGTGTATCAGACACCCGGGCCTTCTCACTGGGGACTGTGGGGTCAGCCGTGTCCACTCTAGTGTGATCTGGCAGCCAGGCCTTCTCACTGGGGACTGGCTGCTGGAACAGTGGGAAGAGGGGAGCAGGCCTGGTGGACGCTGGCTTGGGTGGGGGCCTGTGGGGCAAGACCAGGGCTGAGCCTCACCTCGGGTGTGGGGGGCTCTTCCGGCTCTGGTGCTCTGGCCCCCTCGGTGCCATTGCTGCATCCCCAGGGTCCAGACTGGGCAGGTGGCTGTATTCCCTGGAGCGGCTCAGGACTGGGAGTGTGGGCAGTTATGGGGCTAAGCGAGCCTGGGCGGCCAGAGGGCTTGGGGGCGTCCCGGGCCCGGCCCCACTCCGAGAGGTCCAGGGGCTTGTCTGGGGCATGAGCCTTTGTGGCCGTGTCCTCCTTTGCCCGGGGGCTGCCTGGGCCGATGGGCTGTGGGCACTGCCCCCTGGGCACGGCTGCCCCGGCTGCCTTGTCCTCTGGGCCCTCGGAGTCCAAGCCGACTGGAGGGGAGGGCGGCGTCTCCCGCAGCCTGTGTGGGCCCCTCAGCCTGGCACCTCTGGCCTGCCCCCGAGGCCGCAGCTGCTGGGCCAGGAGCACATGCAGCGCCCCCTCCAGCCGTGGGTCCCGCATGTCCACCAGGGCACCCGGCAGGCCCAGCAGGCCCATGGGATCTTCCCAGGCCTCTGCCACTCCGGCCTTCAGGCCCTCGGGCCGGGGGCCCCCCGGGGCTGTGACAGGGGCCCGGGGACTGCTGTGGGAGCTCCGAAGGTACAGGGACAGGTGGCGGTTCGTGAGGCAGAGGCGGTCAGCCTGGAGGGAGGGCTTCAAGGACTCGTAGGTCAAGGTGGAGGGCCGAGAGGCCCGCAGGAAGCTGTGGGGAGTGTGGGGGGTGGGGGTGGAGAAGCCCAATGACAGGGGCCCACGGTCAACCCCCATTTCACAGATAAGGACTTGGGGCCCAGAGAGGTAAGGAAACCCACCCAGGTCATAGGGCAGGTTAGGGAGAGGTGGGCTCCTGGTCCTCAGCTCTGGAAGCCAAGCCGTGTGACCTGGCCAGCGGTGACCTGGGGCCTGGGACTCTGCGGCCTCTCCCCTTTCTGGGCATCAGCTACCTGCCTTCACCTGGAGCGTCTGGCCCCATCTCCTCCCCCAATATCCCCTGCCCCACCCTGGCCGTTCAGTTGTCCATGTGGGGACTTTTCTCCATGCAGGGTACCCAGGAGAGTCAAGCCTAGGACGGGGTCATGGGAGGGGCTTCTGGGCTATTGGCCCCTTCCCTAAAGGTGGGATTGAGTTAGAGATAGATAGGTGCTCAGCTGGGGCCACTCCTGGTGGTGGTGGAGGGCAGGGCCTCACCTGTCCAGGGGGAGGCTGTGTTCATAAGGTGGGCTGGGGGGGCTGCCCCCAGCAGATGGCAGGGGGGGTGTCCCGTTGGCGGAGCCCCGGTCAGCAGAGCAGGCCCGGGCCCCTGGCCGCACCACAGCGATGGTCCCATGCAGCTGGTTGGAGATACGCTGGGGGCTCTGCACAGGGTGGGCGGGTGAGCCTGGGAGGGGCCCGCTGCTGCCCTCAGCCCTTGCTCTCTGTGAGACCTTGGGCAGGTCACCCACCCGCTCTGAGCCTCGCCTCCACCCCTGTCACATGTGGCTCGGTGGCCCCAGCCGGCGTAAAGGACAGACATGTGATGTGGGGCGGGGCTGCCTGGTGGAGAGGAGTGGGCTTGGGGTCCCTCTCCCTCACCATGTCTGGGGCCCGAGGCTCAGGTAGGTTGGCACCCGGGGAGATTTTGGCCACTGGAGATGTCTTGTACCCCAACTTTTCTGTGGGAAGAAAAGCAGTGGGCAGGGCAGATTGGGAGGCGCCTGGGGGGACGAGCAGCTCAGCCCCCCAGGCCAGAGGGCTCTTCAGTCACGTGGTGCCCGGCCTCCTGTCCCCACGGCATCTGCTCCCCATCGACTCGCACCTGGGTGGCCGTCTTCGGCCTCCTCGTGGCCTCCTGGTAGTTTCTCGGTGACAGCCTTCCGGGCACCAGGGGAGGGGAGCAGCAGGGGCGAGGTGGGGTCCAAGGCGCTCTCCCTGCACTGGGGCTTGGGTCTGTCTCCAGAGGGGAGGGCATGGGAGGGCAGTGCCCTCCAGAGACGATCAGAAAGGCCAGGGCACCGTCCTGGGGGCCCAGCCACTGCTGCAGGGGGACCCAGGGGACCCAGAAAGATAGCTCTGTTGACACTGCCTGAGATGCCGCCAGCATGGCTCACACTGCAGGGCTGAGCAGTCCCTTGCAGAGCCCCAAGTGTCAGAGGCGCTGTGGATCCTGGGGACCCAGCCCTGCTTGGAGCGTGTCCGTTGGCTCCTCTCCTTTTACAGGGCACCTGTGCCCGTAACTGTGGAGGCTGGACGTCAGCTCTGTGGTGCATGGCCCGCGGGACCCCCACCCCAGGGCTGGGCCGGTCCCACGCGGGGTTCTGCAACCCCGTGTGCCTCCCCTGGAACCTCATGGACGTGTGCCCGGAGCCTGCTGCGGGCGGGGTGCGGGGGATTGGGGTGTTCAGGTCCCTGGCACCACCCCAACTCACCCTTGGCCCCGAAGCCGGGTCACCTCCTCCTTCAAGGCCTCATTCTCCTCCTGTAGCCGGGTCATCTCATTGGCTGCAAAAGGCATTGATTAGTGAAGGACTGGGGGAGGGGAGACAGGGCGGGAGGTGGATCCTCACAGCCCTGGGGAAGTCCCCCTCCTTGTCCCTAGGCCAGGCCCTGGCACACAGTAGGTGCCCCTAAATGCTTGCTGCCTGAGGGGATGGTTGGATGTGACTGAGGAAACTGCCAGCCTTGAGGACGGGGAAAGTAATGGGACCACCCCCCAGGGCAAGGGGGCCTGTCCTCATCGGCAGGACGGGTGGGACTTCAGGAACCCCTCCTTGTCACAGGGAAGAGGAAATTGAGGCCCTGAGAGGGCAGGGACGCCGCAGCCCAGGTGGCTGACAAGTGAGGGGCATGCTGAGGCCAGCTAGGGGCTTTGTACCATTTGTCTGCAAATTGGGGTTCAGGGTGCCCACCCGACAGCACGATCGCCTCCTCCCCTTTCCCTGCGACCTCATGTCAGGTTGAGCAGGCCCTGGGGCCCACACCCCCACGGGAGGGGACAGCGAGGCGGGGCTCACTGAGGATGAAGATGTGCTGCAGGTTCTGAAGGAGGGAGCTCTCAAACTCCTGCTGCTTCTTCCTGGCCAACTCCTGGGTGACCGTGCAGCGGTCACACAGGCCAGCCCGCAGCCTGTGGGGGGCAGGGGGAGCAAGAGGCTGCTCTGAGGGGGAGACGGAGGCCCTCAGAGGAGCCGGGACCCTTCCAGGGCGTGTTCCGTGGAAGCCCCGCTCATCCCTTGCCCACTGCGTTTGGGAAGGAACCTTGAAAATGCTGTTTCGTTAAGGCCCTGAGAAGCGCTGTGGTGGGAACGTGCCTGGTTTAGTGAACCCCGGGGCTCCCCAGACTCTTCTCCATGGAACCCTTCTCGTCTTCCCCACCCCCACATGCCCTGCGCGTGGCCGTCAGGTGGCCCTCGCCAAGGTTCACCTGTTCTCTAGCGCCCGCACATTCTCCTTCAGAGCCTTCTGCTGCTCCCTGAGCTGCTGGTTCTTGGCACACAGCTCCTCCACCCTCTGGGCATCCCTGTGGGGGGACAAACCGAGGTGGGATTTCTGCTCTGCCCAGGGACCCGACGCTGCCCCAGCCAGCCTCTCCTGTGGCCCTGGGCTGGGTCCTGCTGGGTGCACCCACTGTGGGGACTTCCTAGTGAATGGGGACCTTGCAAAGGCAATGCCTAACCCAGAACACCCAACGTGAGCACTCCCGGCCACTTTGGTGACTTCTGTCTCGTCTTTGTGCCACAGAACTACAGCTCTGTCTGTGACATGGGGACATGGGGAACCCGCACCCGCAGGCCTTGAGGTCTCACCACGAATGTCTCTCTTGGTAATTATTGACACCATAGGCGCCTTAAGCGGCCATGGCTTGCCCAGCCCCGTGGAGAGTATCCGTTCACTTGCTGGGCTTGGAGGTTCAGTCCTGGTTCCACCAGCGGCTAGAGACATGATGTGGACCAGGGGCTCCCCCACCCCCACCTATGCTGAGCCTCAGTTTTCCCCGTGCATCATGGCGTGGCAGCACCCTGGGGTTCAGGGGATCAGGGGAGCGACTGGCAAGCCACTGTCCTCATCTGCCTCCCGCTGGGCCAGCGCCCATCCTGACTCACCGGCACCTCTCCGAGTTCAGTTCTAGAAGCTTGTTCTGTAGGCCTGGAGGAGCAAGGAAAGGGCGGAGGGTCAGGCCCAGCCGTGCTACCTCCCCTGCAGCAGAGTCCGGGGCACCTCCTGTCCCTGGTGGTCAGGCAGGGCCCTCTCCACACCCCACTCCCTGCCCAGGTCCCTTCTCTGACTCCTCAAGGCCACTCCGCATAGTGGGGTCCCAGTTTCAGGGTTGTCTGGGACCGCTGATCCGGGCCAGTGTCTCCCGCCCCTGAGTTCTCTGGCTCTGGTGTCCATCTGGAGCTTGCGTGGGACTCCAATGCTGGGAGTGACCCACCTCCTAGTAAAGTCCTGGGAGGGACATTTTTTGGGGGTGCAGCTAGTATTGAAACGAAACGTGCTCTTGGGGGAGACCCCCTCCTTGTCACCTTGCTGTGGTCCAGCTTGGGCTCGTTAGCCCAAGCAGCCCCTGCCTCTCTGGATCTCTGGGGAGGTGACCCAGGCCCTTTGCGCCCTCAGGAGTGTGTGTGAGTGTTTGCCGCAAGGTCTTAGAAGGGTCTGGCCCGGCAGTAGAGCTTGGGGTATATGCAGGGTCTCCAGCCCTGTCCCTGGTGGGGTGCTGTACAGGTGTGGGGGCCAGGGCAGAGCTGGGCCTGGGTGTCCTGGAGGGCCTTTCAGCTCAATGCCTGGCACACTCCCTGTGGGCTCCAGCCCCATGAGCTCCCATTCCGAGAAGTGAGAGCCTCATGTCTGGGGGCGCTTAGACCCCCTGCCCTGGGCGAGGGGCCCATCTCGGCCAGAGCTTCTCCACTCTCTGCGGTCAGGCCGGCTTTTGATTTGCACTCTGACATGGGCTGACCCTTTGGGAGAACGCCCTGTAGGGCCACACTCGGGGATGCTGGCCTGAAGCTGGGCACATGGCCGCTCTGGGCTCTGGGTCAGTTCTATTGTCTGGGCCTGGAAAGTGAGGTCCTGGTTTGATGAAAATTGGAGGTGACATGTAGGAGCACCCTGGCCTGGCCTTGGCCCTTAGACCATTGGTTCAGGTGAGAGCCACCTACAGAGAGACCCCCCCCCCACTGCCTGCTCCCACAGACTCACCCAGGACCTCCTTCTCATGAAGGTCCTTCAGCCTGTTCAGCGACTCTGTGAAGCTATCCATGGCCCCCCACGGCCCTGGCGCAGGTCCGTCTGTCCTCGGGTGCAGGGATGGCCCCTCAGCCCTCCTGCCCCTCTGTTTCCAGCCGCCTGTGGAGCAGGAAGTGGGGAGAGGGGGCCTGTTGGCCTGGGAAAGGCCTGTGGGCTGCAGGGGTCAGCCCTGGGCCACTGCCCATCTCCATGGGTGTGGGAGCAGAACCAGTGCCATGTTGGAGGGGGGAGTCCTGTCCTGTGGGCCACCCTACACACCCCACTGGGTCATGTCCACACAGGGGACCCAGTGGGCTCATCTGCACCGCCCTGCCCTCAGCGTACGTCCTGCGGGGAAACTTGGAGGGTCTCTCAATCTCCACTCCTTAATGCATCCTCATCGCAGAGCAGGCCCCCAAAGGCACCGGCGTCTGCTTGGTGCTGGGCTCACAGTACATGTGACACGTGCTCATGAGGCCCCAGGCTGGAGACACCCACGGCGTGGGTCAGTGAGCCACAGCGTATTCATGCCACGGGAAAGACCACCAGCAGTGTGCTGGACAGATGCTCGCAGGACGTGGATGACCGTGGGGGAGGGACTGGGGGCCGGCTGGCCGGGTCCCCTCCAGGAGCTGGTGGCCGTGTGGACTGCGTTGATGGAAATCCAGCAGCCGCCCCTCGTGGGCGGGGTCCTTTTTGGTGCCTGTGTTTCACTTCTGTGAAACGTTTGCTGACGATCGAGTGAGGGCTTGAGAGCCTGAGGCGGGAGCCACACAGACCCTCCGCTATGTGGCTGCCGTGAGCACCAGCCCTCCCGGCTGTCCTTCCCTCCCTGTGGAGGTAGTCAGAGTGCCCGTCTTGGTCTCCTGGGCACCTGTGAGCCTCCTGTGGGTCCTGCAGGGGCAGGTGGGAGCCTCCTCACCGTCGTGCCAGGCGACGCCCCTTGGTTCTTGTGGCAGACCGCTGTGCTGGCTGGGTACTGGGGTTCCAAGGCCACCGGTGCCCTCCACCCCCTTCCCTGTGAGACCTTCTGTCGCCATCCACCCTCATTGGAGAGGGGGAAACGGATAGCGCCTGCCCACTGCAGAGCTGGGAGTCAACACAAACCTCACAGAGCCAGGTCAGCACAGACGCGTCGCCAGGCTGACCTCACCAGTCATCACCGCCATCGCTGACCATCCTCCCACCAGGGCCCTTCTCACCGAAGCCCCATCGGATGGCAGCCCTCCTCCAACACCACGGCTTTGAGGCCACCAGGCAGCCCCGGTCCCTTCACACAGGCCAGAATTAAAGAGACGTGTGTGTGTGCGCGCGCGCGCGCGCGCGCGCGCGCGTGCGCGCATGTGTTTTGGGGGTGGGGGTGTCTGTGGCCTGGCCACATTCATCCTCACACCCTTCTAGACCTTTCTGAGACCCCACCTGCCTAGAGACGCACCTGCAGGTGGGCGTGCAGGAGGAGTGGCTGCCTCCTCCCCGCCCCTCCCCTGTTCCCCTCCTCTCCACCCGCCACTCCTCACCCTCTGTGCTTTCAGTTTGGCCCCAGGCCTAGGAGGCTGGGCCACAGGTCAGGAGGCTTCGCCTGCCTGGCCTGTAGTGGCTTGGGGCGCCCATTACACACTGTGTGAACCCATTAGCTGGTTGCCACATGCAGTGCCCTCCTGGAAGCCCTCCTTCCAGCTCCTTCTTTGAGGGGAGGTGGCCAGGCTTCTAGCACTCCCGACGCTCTTCCTGGCATCCCACACTGACCCCTCAACACCAGCTGTTGGCTTGCCTTGTACATACGCTCAGAATCTCACCTTTCCCTCCTTTGCCCTGCCCACCCAGGCCCAAGCTACACGGGACTGCCACACAGGACCACTGCATGGGACCGCCACCCTGGGACCGCCACAGGGGACCACCGTGGGACCGCCGCCACAGAACTGCCACCAGAACGCTGGTGCGTCCCCTGGGCCACTACACCCAGCTCCTGGCGTCCGCCTGCCCCACCAGGGTATGTTCAACACAGCGGCAGTGCGAGCCCTTGAAACCTCTGCTCAAAATCCTCCCTGGGCTCCAGCACAGGAGGCGGTGCCTGAGTCGTCACCACGGCCATCAGAGGGGACAATCTCATGTGCATTTCAAAGGTGCCCTGAGTTTGCAGCAGCACTCTCCGGAATACCGTCAAAGTGGAAACCCCCAAATGCCAGCTGCCGAATGTCCATGGTGGAGGAACGGCTGCTCCCTCACCCCCACTGCAATCACCATGTGACACTGCAGGACGGAGCCAGACCTGAAAGCCGGCCCACTTTGATTCATGCACATTAGGCACAGAAGAAGCTCGACTGCTCTGGGCTCTTGGAATTAGGGGTGGCAGGTGCCCTGGAGGTTGGAGCTGGGGTGTCCTGACTGAGGGGAGCAGACCCTGTAACCAGCAGTTCTCAACCTTCCTAATGCCGCAACCCCTTAATACAGTTCCTCATGTTGTAGTGACCCCCGACCATAAAATTATTTTTTATGGTGAAAGGGTCGTTCAACCCCCAGAGGGGTCGCGACCCACAGGTTGAGAACCGCTGCTAACCCCAAGAGAGGCCAGGGGCCAGGTGTGCACGCGCTGGGGCTGCCCGCCTGGAAACCAAGTCTGGCTCTCAGCCGGGCCCTTGGACCCGTGGCCAAGCGTGAGAGCAGCAGGGAAGACTCAGCACCTGGATGCTGGGCTGGGCCCTGCTGGAGCGGGGAGGAGGGTGGGGTGGTGGAAAGGTGGGGCTCCCCAAACTCGCTCCTCAGACCCGCCTGGGCTCTGGGACAGCTGGAAGCACTGGCTGGGGAAGTACTGGTGCCCGCTTGGGGGCTCTGTGTTGGGTGCGTAAGGGCTCTGAGAATGCGGGGCCTCAGGAGCACCCCCATCTCCAGGCCAGGAGCCAGAGCGCATCAGGTGAGAGATGTCCCTGCAGGTGAGGAGAGAAGATGCCGAGTCCAGAGGCTGGCGGAGGCCAGGCCTCGCGCGGGGGCAGGGTGGGCAGAAGTGGTAACCCGGCCTGTTTGCTGAGCGCCAACACGCCGACACCCATCTAACTCTGACCACTCTCCATATGGGGAAACTGAGGCCCAGAGAGATCAGATCATGCCCCCTGGCTGCCCGATGGGAGGTGGGAGCATGGGTGAACTTGCTTCTGGGGCTGTGGATGCTGTGCCCTCGCCCCACGTGGACCAGGGACGTGTCCTGGGAGCCGTGCTGTGCTAGCTGTGCTGACCTGTATCTTGCGGGAGGACTCCGGGGAGGTAAGACACGGAGCTGGGGCTTCTGGGGCTCAGGTCGCTAGCAGGTGGGTACGGAGAGCTGGGGAGGCGCTGAACCAGGGCACCTGAAATTCCACCCAGACCCGCCTGACAGGCTGCTCTTCCCTGAGCGCCTGCGGCGGCCTTGCCGACACCCACAGAGGAGCCGCCTGAGGAGCCGGTGGTGCCGTGGGCTGGGGAGAGGCCTGCGCAGGCTCTGGGTCAGAGAGGCAGGCGCTGCTCCTGCTGCGGTCACTGTGGTGCCGTCCGCTGGGTCCCACCCCCAGGCTCCTCTCTGTGCCCCAAGCTGTTCCGACAGCCCCGCCTGGCCGCTCCTCTCGGGGTCCCTGAATGACAGCAGGAGACACCCTCCTGCATGCTGGGTAGGGAGAACAGCACAGACCGGGGCCCTGGCCCATGGAAGGCAGTGCGGTGGGGGTGGTACGGCTTTCCCAGGAGGGTGGGTGACAGAAACGCATTTGGCCAAGGCAAAGTGGACAGTCAGTCTTCCGGGGTGGCCCCTGTCCCAGGCCTCACCCTCCTGGAGTGTGGGGAGGGCTGGAAGGGGTGGGAGGTGGAGTGAGACGGGTCCCCACCTGGGGGGAAGTCTGCACACTTTGGTGAAGTTGGAAAGTTGGTGGCCATGGGTGGGCTGAACTCAGGTTGTAGCCTCCTGCCAGGGGGTCAGCAGGCTGGCCTGTGCTTGTCAGGAGTGCCCAAGGCAGCTAGGGGGCTGGGTGTTCAGGCAACTCTGAGGGTGAACTGGGCACTCCCCCAGGCCTGGGTGCTTCAGGGTACATGCCAGGGCCTGGGGTGGGGGCTGCTACAGGGCCTGGGGGGGGGGCCTGTGCACAGAAGAAGGTGGCCTGAGTTGACTGCTGAGGTGGGGGTCAGAGACCTGAGCTTGGCTCCTTAGGGTCCCAGGGCAGGCCCAGGGGTTCCTGGCCCTTCCACTCTGGACACTCAGGCTGGAAGGTCTCTGCTGGGGCTGAGTCCCCGGAAGGAGCAGGTGGTTCAGCCACACCGATGACTCCGCCCACCCGCCACTCACCATGGACAGAGCCAGCCAGGCAGAGCGCTAGAGCCAACAGCCCTGGCATGGGCCCCCAACCTGGCTTTACCCTCTGTGCAAACCTGGGCAAGTGGTTTTACATCGTGGGGCCTCAGTTTCCTCATCTGGAGGTAATACTACTTGGCCATCCCCTTCCCAGTAACATGCGTCCAGGTGACACCTGTTTGGGTGATACTCATCAGCACAGGCAGGTCAGAGTGCTCAGTTAACTGCAGATGGAGACCCTTGTCCACCGCCTGTGCTCCCCCACTAGTGCCTTTACCACATGAGACCCTGCATAGCTAGCAGTGTTGCTTACAGGACCCCTTCTCTCTGGACCAGTTCAAGTCCCGTTGCCACAAAGACCCTTTGCAGGAGGACAAGACCCCCAGCGCCCAAGTTCATGGCAGAGGTCATGGATTCCAACAGTGATGGCACACTCTCATCTTTGGACAGTTGCCCACTGTGTGGACACTTCACGTTCACTAGGTCTTGGTGTCTGTGCCCAGGACAGGTGCTGTCTGGCCCCCATGCACCATGGAAGGCAGTGAGGGCCCAGCTGTAGCCCTCGGCCTGGACTAAGCACCACCTGGCTGAGCAGCAAGGCCCACAGGGTGTGGCGTCTTGCTCTGCCCCTGGGCCGCTGGGCCCCTCCAGGATCTGGGCTCCTCACCCACCAGCCACCTCCTGCAATCAAGGCCGCCCCTGCCCTGCCATCGGTCGGTCTGTCCACCTGCCCACGAGACAACTCTGGCGATGCAGCAGTAGTCACAGCAGTGGCCACTGTCCCCGCATGCCACTGTGCCGAGCAAGGCGCCCAGGGCTCCACGTGCCTTAAGGGGCGTCACGGTGGCCCCAAGGCTTCTCTGAGGGAGCCGCGTGGACAGTGCCCTCCCCGACCTCCTGCCGGACCTGCGTGGGCCGAGGCCCACATCAGAGCCCCGTGAATGTTCGCGGCGTGTGAGTTTATGGAGCGCCTACTGCTTGCCCAGGCTCAGCACACATGTGGCCTTCTGAGGCGGTGCTCATTGTCCCATTCCACAGATTCAGGCCCTGGGGCTCGAAGCAGATAGGCGGCTCCAGTGTCTCTGTCCACCCTCTGTGTGGACCTCTGCGGCGATGGGCAGTCACTCCCTTGACTGAGCCTCGGTGTCCCTGTCCATAAAGCAGGCAGAGACGGTGTGCCCTCCCCACACTCCTGGAGCCAGGGGTCTGTGCCACCACAAGACTCCTCCAGCACCACTGGTGCTTCAGTGACCCATCCACTGACAGGTGGTCAGGGGCCAACCTGGGAGCCCCCGGGTGCCAGGCACCTGACAGGCACTTTGCATGCAGTGACTCATGGGGCCTCACACTCACCCATGGAGCGGCCATGGCAACCCCACTTATAGATGAGGGACAGAGGCTTAGAGCGATGTCATCTGTTATGGTCACCAGCTCACTAGGGGCATAACCAGGGCAGAAACAGGGTCTCCTAGCAACCTCCTGGGCCAGTTCAGGGTAGCGGGTCTTGTCCAGAGAGGTGTCATCGCCAGGGAGGTTTTTAATATCTACCAGACACATAGACCCATACACACGTGCACATGTGTGCCGCTCACACCCACACGTATGGATGCAACAGGAGCCTAACAACATCCTAACACAGTAGTGCACACCCCAACACACAAGCACCATGCACATGTGCGCCACCCTCAGCCACCTCCCTGCCGTGCACACAGCAGTGCATGAGCCTGGGGAGAGCTGCACATGCATGTGCTCACATGCAGAAGAAAAGGCAGGTGTGCTCTCAGGTGGCTGAGGTGTCGCTTTGTGGCTCAGGTAACAGCAGGCCCTGCAAACAGACTCCGTGAGGAGGGGCTGCCTGCTGCCTCCCCGAGGCCTGGCTGGGCGAGGCCTTGCAGGACCCATGGCCCCTGGAAGCCATTTTCACCGCCTCCTAGAGACACCAAGCCGCAGGCAGCTGTGTCCCGCAGTGCCCAGCACTGAGCCGTGGACGGCTGCACCATGCACTGACCCCCACTGCTGCACCCCTTCTGTCCCATGGGGGTCTAGCAGTGGGGCCGGTCCAGGATGGAGTACCTGGTTACCAGTGCATTCCTGGTGCCCCCAAACCCTCACCAGATGACAGAGATTTCCTGGTGCAGCGGTGCCAGGCTCAGCCTTGCCTCTGCACCCAGGCCCCTGCTTGGGAAGCCTGCTGGCCCTCCCCCACTTGGCTCCCTGGGCCAGGCGCCCTCCAGCAGGTGGCTCTGACCCTCTTGCCTGTCTGGCCTGCCCGCCTCTTGACCTCCTACTGCCCAGGGAGTAGGGGCAGGGGCTTCCACCTTCACCTGCATGGGGAGCACCCCCACAGCGACCCCAGCCCCTCCTCCACTTCCAACTGCTGGAGCTGCCGGTCCCTGGGGTCCCCCAGGTACTCACATGGCCCCTTGCCCGCATCGACCTCCAAGGACCTTCCTGCCGAGCCGGAACGCTCCTGCCCGGGAGATAGAGGCGAGCAGTGTGTGAACTTGCACAGGCAACAAGACACAATTTTGGCCAAACCCGCTTGACAGGTTCTGGGTTCTCCCAGCCAGGAGCAGAAAGGAGGCAGAGACTGCCCAAAGCCGCCCAACGGGTTCTGCCATTACACAGAAAGTGGCAGAACGGGTCGGGTCTGAACCCACATAGAGATGGAATTGTTTCCCCATAATATCTCTGCCCGCACCTCTGGCCAATTAACAGGGAGAACTCAGGGCCTCAGACACAAAGGACAGGCAGGGAGGGTGCTGGGCGGGAGGGAGTGGACCGCTGGTCTTGTCACCTTAGGCATAGGTGGGCCGCAGAGGCCCCTCCTGCCTCACATTCTGGCTTGCCGGGGGCAGACCTTTCTGGCCTTGCTTTCCCTGCCTGTAAATTGGGGACCTTGAGCGCAGGGCCTGTCCCTGTCAGGCCTCTTGTAGCCAGAAATTTGGAGCTGCTGTTGGAAGTGGCCCTGCTGGGTCCGGGGGACGCCCTGCCCAGCACTGCCCCCTCTGCCCCTCCCAGAGGAGAATAGGCAGGCCTGTGGGTGGCCCAATGGGTGGACATCTCCGGGATCTCAGGGCAGGTTGGGGGGACACAGTGGGGCTGGGCCCAGGGGGCACAGGAGGGGCCAGGTGGGGTTTTCCGTGTTTGCTCACTGCATGGTGACAATGTGACCCACTCATGCAGAAAAAAGCTGGCGTCTGAGGGCTGCAACTGCACCTGCACCCCTGCCCCGTGTCCTCCACCACACACTCCTGCCCCACGGCCCCCTCCATGCCATTCCCTACCCTCACCCCACAGCCACCTGCACATGCCCCCCCACCCTGCCTTCCTGCCTCACCCACCTCACACCTCCTTCCCCCGCATGCCCCCTGTCCCACCTCCCCCGTCCTCACTCAGCTCAGGAGCACTCAGGGCTCTCAGGAGCGGGTAGTGGTCAGCCAGGGCCTAGAGCCTCCGGCACGACGCCTGCCCGCCTGCCCCTCCTGGCTGGGCCCTCTGTGAGAAGTGTCTGCTGGGTGCATGTTTATGCATGTGCTGTGTGTGTACCGCATGAGCGTGGATGTGGCGAGTGTGGGCACAGCCTGATGTGTGGGGACCTCCCCATGGCTTCTCTCAGGCTCATGCCCTCCACCCCAGACATGTGTAGACACAGAACATATGATGTTCACGCATGCATTCATACGTGCAACAGTGTTCATTGAGTGCCACGTGGGTCAGGCAGAGATGCAACCAGCCCACTGAGGTCCCACTGCAGCTCTCCTGTGAGACCAGTCGGAGACGCAGGTGAGCTGGAGGATGCAGCAACCTCAGATTTCACCCAGTGCGTGAGATCAGCTGTTTACCAAGCACCCACTGTGCTCAGGCCCTGGGGATACAGGACAGGGGTCCTTATTTACCGAGCACCCACTGTGTGCAGATCCTGATGACAGTGATCATCCTGGTCGCGTGAGCTGGTGCCAGAGCTATTGGGAAAAGCACGTAAAGGGTGGTCTGTGACAGAGTCAGGGCATCCTTAGATGGGGAGCAGGGCAGGAGGCATTTTATTGAGGCTGGGGGTAGCGGGGGGGACAGGGGATGGGGACAGGTGCTCCACTGGGCCAGTCAGCGGCTGGAGGGACATCCGGCCGACATTGGCTGCCTCAGGGAGCCGTGGTCAGGAGGGAAAGCACCTGAGTGAGAAAGGAGGGTGCAGCTGCTTCGGCAGGGGAGCGTGCAGGTGCCAGCCGGGTCCCCCTGTCCTTCCTGGCTGTTCATTGGCTCATTCTTTCGTTCATGCGGCCATCCGAGAACCACTTGCTCAGCCTCACGGCTCTGTCCTGGGCTCTGGACACATGGGTGGGCGTGACCGTCATGCATTCTTTCCTCCTGTTTGGGAGACTGGCTGTCACAATCAGGCACAGCGGGTGCTCTCTGAGCCTCAGTTTACTCACCTGTAACCCAAAGATAGGATTCCTACTTGGCAGGGTTGATGTGAGGATTAAATGAGACCCTATCTTGGCATTCATTCATTCATTCGTGCATTTATTCCATGTTTCACGAAGCCATGGGAGTTGGGTGCTGGGGACTGGGATGCACTGGCCAGGCCACACCGCCCCACAGACAGCACCGGTCCAGGCTCACGGCGACCTCCTGGATGACACCACAGACCCTCACTTCGCCACCCAGCAGAACTTGCTGTCAGAGCTGCGGGCTGTCCATGGGCTGCTCTATGCCTGCTCTTCAGCTGCAGACCAAGGCCGGAGGGGGCTGGGCAGCCTCCGGACGAGGCAGCCCCCCTCACACCTGAGGGGCTGGGCTTGGAGCCTGGGGAGGGGTCCTGGTCCCCCCAGAGCCTGCCTCCCCAGAACAGCTCCAGGCGGCTCTGTCGGGCTTTTATCCCTGTGAAGGGAGGGGCGTGAGATAAGGCTTCAAAGACATCTGCTAAAGCACCTTTAAAAGCCCGCCTGTCCTGCCGCTGTTTGTGTTACTGGATTGATAGATGGTGGGTGTGGGCAGCGGCCAAGCCAGGCCAGCCCTGCATCCCTGGCTCCCAGATAAATGGGTCACCTATTAATATGGCCCTGTAGAGGGGGCCCTGCAGGGGCGAGGCTTCCTTCTGTGATGTCTGGGGCCTCTGTCCCCACCCTCCCTGCAGACAGGGTCCTGATGACCCGGCTTGGGGGGGATGGGGGGCGGCTTCCTGGTGGCTGGGGTCTGACTGAGCCCAGCCTGGGGCCGACTGCAGCTGGGGGTGGGGGGAGCAGGTGTGGGCCTGGCCCCGGGTGGTGGGGAGGAGGGGGCTAGGATGTCCTGAGGGGGTGAGGCACCCCTCAACCCTCCCTTCACATGGCCTCAATGGTAGGCACCCTGTTTTTTAAATTACTCCTTGATAACACCAGAACTGCCAAGGATGACCCAGCCTGCAAAGCACTAAAACATTGCAGGTAAGGCCAAAGTCTCCTTTTAGCGTCACCTCTCACGCCTTTCCAGGGTAAGCCCTGCTTGGGCCCTGCCGGTGTTTGCTGCCAGATCTTTCTCTGTGGAACCACCTACCTGTGCCTTTTAACTGTCGTAAAGGGTACAGTTCAGGGGCAGTCGTACACTCACGAATGCGTGCAAGCGTCACAGCTGTCTGATTCTAGGACATTTTTCATCACCCCAAAGAGAAGCCCACACTCACCGGCTATGGTCCCCTGAGCACAGCCCCTGGCACAACTCAGCTGCTTCCCGTCTCCATGGATTTGCCTCTTCGGGACATTTCATCTAAGTGGAGCCTCATCATTTGAGGTCTGCGTCTGGGTTTGTTTCCTGAGTGTCGTGTTTGTGAGGTCCATGCGCGCTGTGGCACGTGTCAGTGCTCCGGTCCTTTCTAAGGCTGAGTGAGGTCCCATCGTGTGGATAGACCACACTGTGTCACCTTCATCTGTCGATGGACCTTTGGGCTGTTTCCACCTTTTGGCCGCTGTGAACGGCGCTGCTGTGAACACCCACGTACAAGCTTTTGGTTGAACACGTGTTTTCAGTTCTCTTGGGCACATCCCTAGGAGTGGCAGTGACAGGCCCCATGGTAACTCTGTTCAACTGTTTGAGGACCCGCCAGAGGCTTCAGAACTTTAAAACACTTTTCAGGTGACTGAAATGTGCAGCTAATGAGAACCACTGATAATCTTCAGGATGCATCTCCTGTACACCCCGATGGTGGCGTCATTGGGGTTCCTGCTAAAATCTGGGCTGTGGGGGAGACCGAGGCCAAGGCGCCACCCCTGTTTGCGGGGGCTTCAGGGGAGAGGACAAGGGGCTGGGTCAGTGTGGCTAGAATGCCTCTGCCTGGGCTGGGATCACGGTGAGGAGAGAGGGCACAAAGCTTACGGCGGCATGAGAAGCTCAGTAATCAAGAGAAACACCATATTTGGGGGTTTGCTTTATCTGAAGTTTCTAAGGAGATAATGGTGAAGTCACACGCAGCTGCACGGAATAACACAGTGAGATCCTGTGTGACCTCCACACAGGTGTCACCCAGTGGTGGCTTGTGGCCTGCGTTCGTGTGTGTACGCGCTAAATCCCACACAGTTCCACCTCCTCTGTAGGGTCCCTCTCGGGGTTGGACGTTCTGTGGGGTTGGACACCTGTGTGATGTCATGTACCCACCATTACAGTGTCACACACAGTTCACTGCCCTGAAAGTCCCCTGTGCCCCCCT